TAATATATCTGGAAAGTGCTAAATTGGAAATGGGAAAGGCTAATGTAGAGGATTTTGTATTACATTGCATTTTAGATTTTAAAAAGAGCTATTAACAATGGCAGCTAAATGTAATTCTAACAATTAAGGATACTTGAGCCAAACAAATGCCAAACTAAATCCTCTCATTTCTTGTACATGAACACTTTACCATTTGATTGACTGCTCTTGGAGGCATTTGATTTAAATCTGAACCCAATGTTTTAATTCTTTCTTGCCTGGGCAAGAGTGATATTATTTAATTGAATATTATTAACAGCATGTTGTATACATGTACTTAGTTTTAATGCAAGAAAGCTCAAACCTGCTTTTCAGGAAAAGTAAACCTGAAGCTGTTGGATACACGTTTTATTGTACTCTCATTCTAAAGCCCAAAGAATGTGAATTGCTCTCCAATATTGAAGACTAGTTGAATATACTGTTAAACCTATAAGATTTTCAGTATTGATTTTTAGGGAAGTCAAATGGCAACAAAGCATTTAAGATGGTATTTGTAGGATTCCAAATGAAACTCTGGCTTATATAATGTAGTAAAAATATCAATCACTATTACAGGAGACATATAACCTTACAAGAAATTTAGTTATGTGCCAATCATATAAACTTAACAAAGAAAACGTTTTACTGAATGAAACTGAAATTATTTCTGAGCAAAACACAAATTGTATTTTAAGATGCACTGGCTACATTATAATAAATGCCCTTTTTAATCTTGGTTTGAAAGAACCATAAAGGCTGCAATCATACAATGCTCTAAGCCATATATTGTAATTAACAAGGAAAAATGTCCAGATACATACAACATATCATGCTGCAATCAAACCACATTCTTCCTTAGTACAATGTGTGAGCCTAATCTATATACTGTGTCTGTAACATTTGCAAAATATCCACTTTATAGGAATTATATCCCTTTCAGTGTTAAATACAGGGGGAAGCCAGCATTCCTTTCCAGAATCACTCAAGTCATAAATGTTTCACACAACTACTCTGTACAGATACAATGGATTTACAGTATAATACTAAGAAAGAACCAACTCACATATTCTACCTCCCCTTTTTTGTTGCCTTGCTCTGACTGACGGAAAACTTCTAGTTAGGTAAACCAATTTCCCCCTATACTGTATCTAAATCAGAATCTGATGTACAGTAAATACTAAATCAGAGGTTTTTGATTCAGTTGTTACAGAAATTCTGTAGTGTAAACAAGCACTGGAAAAATGAAACAAAAGAAATTACTGCAAGGTCCATTCTAATAATCCCATGAAGATATTCAGTTGAACGAGCTAAATGACAACGAACCAGAGGAATTCTATTCACATGACTCTTGTTCATATACTGAACCTTGTTTTTACAGAATCTAAAGTCATGTGATCAAATTTATTGCCTCCAGTTAATGCAGAACATTTGCCACTTGTCTTTCTGAAGACTGATACCTGAAACTACTAAAGAGAAAAGTGTAGCACTTCAAAGGCTAGCAAAGGCTTTGAGATATTTTAAGACTTATGTTTAATAGTTGCTGACAACCCTATCTTGTTTTACCATAACACAACTTCCCTTCTACAATTTGTATTCAAAGCTTAGTACTTTTGAGGAATGTGTTATCATAAAGATTGAGGGCAAACAATTCAACAATTTTAGTCTTCAAAGAGAGATTCAATGTCCTTCATAAGAAATTTTTGGCATGTGGTACACAGAGCCTCCCACAAGGATGATAAACACGACCTGAACACATTTGGTCTCCCCAGCCCAGAAAAAAAGTAACTTAAATTAAGATGTACATTGTAACAAGCTTGCAGTATAAGACACACTGTAAAGCAATTTAAAAACAATGAGGTAAAAAGTTAGCTTTGAGAATCAACCAAATAGAAAAATAATTTAGTTGTAATTCAGTGGAACAGCCTGGCTTGGAAGACTGTGGGCTTTAAGACTGGAAGGTTCTCAATTTTTTTCTGATTTCAAATGCTACAGAGCCCAAAAGAACCAAATTAGATAACTGAATTATGTAAACTTAGTGGGAAAGGAGAACTGTCACTTATGTCCAAGTCACAAATTATATCATGGCAAAGTAAAGGAGTCACAGATCCTCAGCAAATCAGTTACTCACAATGATAGCTGGATATTATGAGAATCAGAGTAATTATGGTCTTGGACCTCTTTTAGTTCAACCTCTCTCCCAGCATTATTTGCTATGGGAAAAACTAGGCGTATTATCTTGAACTCATGGAAGAAAAGTGGGATATAAATCTAACAATTCAATTAAAACTCTGATCTGGAAATGATAGATGGTTTACAAATTAAAATTATTTCACAGTGCTGCTCTGATTCTTCAGAAGCTTGCACCATTGACAACTGAAATAAATGTCATAGAATTGTCAGGGGTTAATTTACTCTTGCATGTTCATCCCTTGATAACTAGCATATATTGTGCATCAATTGTGCCCTTTTCTGGATTGTGAGTCCTTGTACTCAGTCACTCAGGCCCTGGTCAGGTCGTGTCTGAACTGCTGCAACACGCTGTATATTAGGAAGTTACAGCTGGCACAGAATGTGAAATAGACAGCATATAAATTTAATAAAAAGTTGAACCTTCTGTAAGTGTGTAATTGTTGCAAACATACCACCCATACTGCAAAATACTTAAATTATTATTAGCGTGGGATAGTAATTTGGCTTATCAAGGTACTAGCCCTTTTATAGAACATGCTTGCGTGCTTCCCAAGGTGCGCTACAGGAAGCGAGCTGGCTTCACGCCAGAAAGATGAGCAGCTCTTCCTGCAGCATCACCAAGACCCCCTCCCTTCCCGGAAGTGCCTTGCAAGTGAGCCTTGTAACCAGGAAGGTTCAGAGCTGTCAGGAATCTGACTGCCTGTACAGAGCACCGGCTCATCTCCACATCAAAGTGGTACCTATCTATCTACTTGCATAGAACATGCTTTCGAACTGTTAGTGGACAGAAGCTGAGGCAAGTGACAGGAGCTCACCCTGCCATGCAGTGCTAGGGTTAGAACCGGCAGAACTGAGTCCATCTCCAGCATCATTTAAGCCACAGAATCACTGTGCCTCTAATAAGTTCAATTGAGATAGTAGACTTGGCTGAGAGTCATTAAGTGCTGCTTAATTTCAGTGCAACATAGGATATATCTTTAAGAATCCACCTTTTTTATTCAGAATTTGAGAGATGCAACATGAATAATTACTGTTACAAGTTCTGAATCAAACCTCATCAACAAATCTGATTTTCCCACCTCCCCGTCTCATTTAAATATTGTAATAAATCCATAAACAAGATTTTTAAAAATATCAAGAACAGTCTCTTGCTAGAATTTTCAACGGCTTTCATTCAAAAAAAATTCTGATATTTAATGCCAGCAAGGGATTTTGGATCAAGTAATATTAATTTATAAATAATTTCTAATTTTTGGCAAGGTCCAAATACACTTAAGATATTGTAATTCTCGAATACCTATATTCATCCCATTTCAGGTATGTATTCTTTGCATTACAATTGTCTTGAATCATATTTGGCTAAACCAACACCCAAGTGATTTAAGATGCTTCCTTTTCGATGTGGATATTATACAACCTTAAATTCTCTATAGAAAACAGTATACATAAACATACATAACTTTAAGGTTAAATCCTGACAGATGTTGGAATCATTATCCTTAATTACAAACCTCCAGATTGACTTTTATATGTATTCATCTCAATTAATTTAGCTGTCATAGCATCAATATATTCACCTTTTAAATAATCATATACCTCGATAGGATCCTCAGAGGATTTACTAGTAAATATACAAAGGATCTTGCTGTATGTATCTTATTTTAGAAACTAATTCAACCAAAGTATCTCCTCCTAGTTTTTAATTATTTATTTGTTAAATTTATTTGCTGCCTATCTTGCTGTGGGGCTAGTCTAGAGTCTAGACAGCTTTAGTTTTAGTATTAGGAACAAGTGGCATAATAATTGCTTTTACTTTGTTAATACTGTAACTCAACCATGTCTAATTTTCCAAGCTACTTTCCATGATTAGTTTTAATATTTAAGTATAATTCTAAAAATAATAGTCCTACTCTTCTAATTTGATAAGAATATAATCATTGTCCTAGAGATAAAGGATCAATGGGTGACGCTAGAATTCAATGGCAGAAAACAGCATTGCCCAGAACAGAATATCTAACTACAGCTCAGAGAAAAAATATTGTCTGAATGCTGTGCAGACATCAGTGGCGATATCAAAAAGACAATACAAATGTAATTTGCATTACAATGTTGAACACAAGAACATACCTTTTGGCATTTCCATGACACCATCACATATATATCATTTACTTCTCATCCCCATCAGGGATGCTTGTGCTGCTGATACGCCAGTATTATTAATCATGAATAGATGTACTAATGGCCTGATTTGGTAAAATGTGGTTTCTTAAATTCCTAGAATAGTTATAGTCAACCTGGTCATTTCCAAACCTTCTGGATACAAATCTAAGGTCAATATGTTAACAAGTTTAATAGCTAGGGACTGTAGGAGATACTTTGTAACAATAAGGAAATTGTTCGCCATTTTTCCAGGATATTTTTGCGTCTTGGTATTGTATTTACAGCCTTGGTATTCTTAGTAGTTTTGCATTCAACTATTAGCCAAAGCTAACCTTGCTTAGCTTCCCAGCTCAGGCATGGTTACCTGGATGATGCTACTTGCTAAGCAAGATTAGGTTCCCAAATTCTAAGTTGTTTAACAAGAGCAGAGAAAACTACATTTTAATTAATTAAATCCCTAATATCAGCCTTTATCCATAGGCACGAATTCTGAACATAAACCACACAAAACCTGAAAAGCAAGCATTTGAAAAACTTTCTTTCTTCCCCATTAAAATATAACAGAAGAAATGTGCTGTATAATTGTTTTATTTTCTGCTTATTAGTTCTTTTACCAACACTACAACCATATTGCAGACACAAAAATCCTGTTTACTTTATTCAGGGAGATCACAGTCTACAGACTTATCAAACATAGTTAACACCATTCAAAAATGTATTTAGTTGTCCTTTATAAGTCACATGAACACAGAAGTTGTATGTACTGATTTTTTTTTAAAGGAGTGGAACTCTAACAGATTGCATTTAATCTTGCAAGCTGTAGATAAATATCTAAAGCCATTTTTATGGCTACTTTGAGCCACAGAAAAGACAAAACCTTGTTTCTTTGGAAAAGGACACTTATAAATTTTTGTACATTTTGTTCGGTAGCAAAAATTATTTGATCTATTTGCCACATATTTCATTCAACATCTGTGATTTTCATTCAAAACTGTTGATTTAAAGGGGAAAGCAGAAAGTATTCTTTTCAACCATAGAGAATCAGCATACCTGGAGGAACAAAATTAAATGACATACACAAGTTATGTATCCAACGTAATACATTTGTATGAAGATTTGATTCTGCCTCATTTGGAGAAAAGTACTACAAACTCTATACCAAAGGTAAACCCACCTATGTTTTCACTGCAATTAGTTATACGAAAGTTTGAGAACCAGTAACAGATCTTCAAGTTTTCCAGTTTAGGCAACTACTTTGTGCTTGGCTTTAGCTATTCCAGAAGACAGTTAATTGTTTATGGACATTTCTGTATTTAACACAATCAAACTGTAATAGTTTAGTTCGTTTTTCTCATCTTATGTTTTAAAAGTTTATTTTCTGAAGGAATGCTGCATTTTCTATTGAGATTAATTTCACTGATTTTACACTAAAATTGTTTATAGATTCATCTAGAATTAGACTTTAATTTTTTTTTCTGTTGAGTGATGCTAAGCATTGAGTTTTAAGAAACTAATTCATTATAATTGTATCCCTCAAACATCTTTGGTACAAGCTTTAGCTCACAATTTAAATAGAAAAAACACTGAAGTGTAGTATAATGCCCCAATTTAAACAGATACCCTTTAGAAAATGGGAATTTTCTTCTGGGTTTGTAGCAATACATTCCTAAAATTCCTCAGATGAGTGTTACTCCTTGAGGAAATCCAAAATTAATTCTTAAGGCTGAATAAAAACCAGCTGTGTTACATTTTTGCACCCAGTATTAATACTTCATTGAAATTATTTTATGCTAACCTGAATTCACAATAATCTCCCCTGATAACTAATCAGTTATTTGAATGCTGAGATATGGCAAAATAATATGACTGCCTTCAAACAAAATAACACGGAAGTTTACATTCATAGTCATTTGCTCACTCTCCACCCCAATCATTAGCTACCCTTCCAAAGGGATTTATAAATGTAGACATCCAAAAGACAAAGTAAAAGTACTGCCAGAATGAAAGAATAGAACTTGCCTGTATCTGCCTGCATATGTTCAACGTGATTTTGTGTACAAAGAAACAAGTTTTCCAAACTCACTTACTTGTTTCACTTAATTTAGTGGCATCCACAAACCATACTCTCATATCCTTCTTTTATTTTGATGCATTTAACAATTACACAAAAGCAGATGAAGGTTCCTTCCAACCTCTCAGATTCATAAAGCTGCATTAAGCCAAGTTAAAGATCCAAAAATATTAATGATTTGAGATGCTTTTAGTCCAATTGTGATACTGCCACCCTGTCTCAACTGTTGAGAGGAATAGTTTTACCATTCAAGTTTTATGTTTTAAAAAACTGCACGTCACAGCGATGCTTATAAATTATTGCTGCATTTCATGGAATGAGATTTTTTTTGCACTAGAACTGGAAAATAATGCAATTGCTTAATATTGCAGCTGAAAAGCTAACAAATTCAAAGTACAGGAACTGTGGTTTGACACTATTCTCATATCCTGCATATGGTTACTATTTAGAATGGAAACTTATTTGCATTTTTAATCATGCATGATATAACAACTTACTTTCAATATTCTGAGATTGTTGGCCAGATAACCTAATATTAGGTTCTAATGTGCAACCATATGTTCAGATGCTACTTTTATTATTTATCAATGGCCAAAAGAATTCAGAATTTTATTTCCTTAGATTCTTGCCATAAAGAGGACAGAATGCAGTTAATTCATTAACAGTGGTTTTCATTTTACTAGATAACAGAGACCTAACATATTCTGCATCATGGCAAGAAGCAAATTTACAGCAAAAATAAATGAGGGAGAAAACTATCAAACCCGAAAGCATACATTTAAAAGAAATGATACATTTAGCCCCAGAACCCAAATAAATGAAGTCAAAGCATTGCAACATTTGAGAAAAATTATTTTGCAAAGCTACAACTTGTGTCTTCCCTCCCAACCCACATTGCTGGAAGTTTGCCACAGAAATTAATGTTTCTGTTCATTAACAGTTAAAGATTAGAGCAATTCTTAACACCAAGCAAATTTTTTATTTAACTGGGAAGCAGTCAAATGTGCAGAAGGAAAGGATAATTGGAGAAGAGGTGAGCAATCATTAAAATCCTATGGATGCTTAATTTCTGAACTTTTTAGTAGAGAGAATCATTGTTTTCTGGGAAGCCACAGTGTTCCTTATGCGTGCTAACTCTCTTATTGACTAGTAACAGTTTGTCATGGTTTAAAATAATCATTAAGATTTATAGTTAGATGTTAACCATGTCAGCCCTTCATAGAGTCCATCACCCGAGGTGGCACAGGATGGCTGAACATACCAATTCCTATCCCTGATTCGGGTCAGGCCCAGTTTTTCTTGGATCTCATGTGGCTTCATGGCATCGGGAAGGTCCTGCTTGTTGGCGAAGATAAGGATGATAGCATCCCGCATCTCTCGATCATTGATAATACGGTGCAATTCCTGACGGGCCTCATCAATGCGGTCCCGATCAGCGCAGTCCACCACAAAGATCAGGCCCTGAGTGCCTGTGTAATAGTGCCGCCACAAAGGCCGGATTTTATCTTGGCCCCCAACATCCCACACGTTAAACTTGACATTTTTATAAGTCACGGTTTCTACATTGAAACCCACAGTTGGGATGGTTGTGACTGCTTGACCCAGCTTCAGTTTGTATAAGATGGTGGTCTTCCCTGCTGCATCCAGGCCAAGCATCAAGATCCGCATCTCCTTGTTGCCAAAGATCTTGGACAGTACTTTGCCCATGATGGTAGCAGTAGAGAGCCAGGCATCCACAAGAAGATAGAGAAGAGTTGTTGTTACACCCAGTAACAAAAAAAGCCAATCCACACTGCTGGACAGAAGCCAAATGCAAGCTGAAGTGTATTTACCACAACCACAACCAGGAAGCCAGCAAGTGATGGGAGGACAAAGGTGGCAAGGAGGAGCACCACCCTTATAGGCACCAGCAGAAAGAATGAGAAGGTGGGGAGAATCTAATGCAATTTACTGCCACTGGAGGGGTGAAAGGACCCTCCTGGAGACCCCTCCGAGAGAACTGGGGCGGAGCTGGCTCAGAAGGGGCGGGGCTTCATGGGGAAGGGCGGGAGCGCCCGGCGTCTTTCAGTCAGTCCCTCTCAGGGCGGGCCTGGGCGTCTCCCCCCTTCTTTTCCAGTTCCGAGAGTCTCTTGAGCGATGGTGGGTGACTGTAAAGAGACAGGGAAGGTGGGGGGGGGGGCAACACAGTCAGTCAGAGAAGACTCTCTGAGGTGCAACGTGAATAAAAAGGAAACCGCTAACCCTCCCAACGTACTCACCTCAAGTCGCGCCGGCTCCTCCGCCCGCCCAACTGCCTTTCCGGAAAGGGAAAAGGCCCGCCTTACCCTTTCCTTCACAAACTCGCTACCCAGCTTGACTGATTCGCGGCCACCGTCTTCAATACGCAGGCGCACAGCTTGGCCGACCTACACTTGCGAAAAGACTGCCCCGCCTACAAGCGAGGAGGACTGTACGGGTAATTAAAAGACACTGCGCACGCGCGGGTTTTCCTCTTGGCGACAGGAATGAGCAGGCGCAGGCTCGAAGGCGCGTCTAAGAGGGCGGAAAGAGGTCATTACAGATACTCTGCATGCTCCCTGGAATGAATGCCTAAATACTGCTCAATAGTTTTCCGGCTTCACCCTAGTTATGCGCAGGCTCGCCAGAATTTTCTTGAACATGCGCAAAGAAGCAATTTCGCTCGGATTCAACTGCGCAGGTGCTAAAAGACAGAGACCGAAGTTCATTAATTTTTTTTTTAGGGTAACGTCTCCTAATCCGCATGCGTGGCATTCTCCACCGCTTGTCAGAAATTTCATTTGCGCGTGCGCCGTTCTGCCCCGTTTTTGCGCGCAGTTGCATTCCCAGCCAATCGTGGAAGGATAAAAAACCACGGGAACAGAATTCACCTCAATTGCCCGACATAAAACTACGCAAGCGCACTATCGTCATTAACCTAGTGTGGTTTTGCTGTAGCGCGCATGTCTGGCAGAAAGTCTGATCTTGGAATAAGACTTTGTATACGTAATGTGGAAGCACGGCCACCTCTATAAGAATTAAAATGAGATAATCTGCGTCAGGATTTGCGCGTGAAACTTTTCTTAAAGGGATTAAGTGGTGCGAGGACGGCATATAGGGACGGGATTGATAATTTTGTTTGTTGGAACTGCATTGGTGGCACACGCCAAAGCTAATACTGGCGTTTGAAGTTTTGAAAATTCTCTCCGCTTTGATTTGCAACCGACTTCATGACACTTTTTTCCGCCTTCTGTGTTTTCTGAAAACTTGTACCTGAAAACCGCTTTTCTTTTTCTAAGCATATGGTTTTATATCTCACCTTCTGCATTGCTTTTTTTACAGTAGCGTTAAACATTGCAAACTCCATACAAGAAAAATATCACAGCGCTTGAGTTGTGAATGAAGAAGTATACTTAGATTTCAGTAAGGCATTTGATAAAGTAGACCACAATCTACTCCTTGGTAAGCTAGAAAGAGATGGAATAGACAACATCACTACCATGTGGATCTGTAGCTGGCTAACAAACCGTACTCGAGTAGTCCTCAATGGCACTACATCCACAGGGAGAGAAGTAAGCAGTGGGGTACCACAAGGCTCCGTCTTAGGCCCAGTACTCTTCAATATCTTCATCAATGACTTAGATGAGGAAATAGAAGGGGAACTAATCAAATTTGCAGGTGACACCAAACTGGCAGGAGTAGCCAACACCCCACAAGACAAGCTCAGGATCCAAAAAGATCTTGACAAACTTGAACAACGGGCCCTATCCAACAAAATGAAATTTAATGTGGAGAAAAATAAAGTTTTACATTTAGGCAGGAAAAATCAAAGATATAAGTACAGATTAGGCGAGACCTGGCTTAAAAACAGCAACTGTGAGAGGGACCTTGGAGTCCTAGTGGACCATCACTTAAACATGAAGCAGCAGTGTGCTGCAGCAGTCAAAAAAGCTAACACAAAGCTTGGTTGTATAAACGGAGGCATAGAATCAAAATCGCATGAAGTATTAAAAAAGTATGTAAAAAAGATGTTGAGACTCTAGAAAGAGTACAGAGAAGAGCAACAAAGATGATTAGGGGACTGGAGGCTAAAGCATATAAGGAAAGGCTGCTGGAATTGGATATGTCTAGTTTAATGAAGAGAAGGACGAGGGGGGACACGACAGCAGTGTTCCAATATCTCAGGGGCTGCCACAAAGAAGAGGGAGTCAAGCTATTTTCCAAGGCGCCTGAAGGCAGGACAAGAAGCAACGGATGGAAACTAATCAAGGAGAGAAGCAACCTAGAACTAAGGAGAAACTTCCTGACAGTTAGAACAATTAACCAGCGGAACAACCTGCCTCCAGAAGCGGTGAATGCTCCAACACTGGAAGTTTTTAAGAAGAGACTGGACTGCCATTTGGTATAGGGTTTCCTACCTGAGCAGGGGGTTGGACTAGATGACCTCCAAGGTCCCTTCCAACTTTTTTATTATTATTATTATTATTATTATTATTATTATTATTATTAGTAGTAGTAGTAGTAGTAGTAGTAGTAGTAGTAGTACCACCGCTTTATAAATCCTTAGTGAGACCACACCTGGAATACTACACATTCAGTTTTGGTCACCACATTACAAAAACGATGTTGAGACTTTGGAAAAAGTGCAAAGAAGACAAACTACGATGATTAAGGGCCTAGAGACAAAAACATGATGAACACTTGCAGGAATTGGGTATGGACAGTCTAGAAAAGAAAGACTAGAGATGACATGATAGCAGTATTCAAGTATTTGAGAGGCTGCCACAAAGAAGAGGGGGTCAAACTATTCTCCAAAGCACAAGGGCAGGACAAGAAACAATGGCTAGAAACTGATCAAAAAGAGAAGCAACCTGCAATTAAGGAGAAACTTCCCAACAGTGAGGATAATTAACCAGTGGAACAGCTTGCCTTCAGAAATTGTGGGCACTCCATCACTGGAGATTTTTAAGAAGAGACTAGACAGTCACTTGTCTGAAATGGTTTAGGACGGTTCTCCTGCTTGAGCAGGGGGCTGGACTAGAAGACTTCCATGGTTCCTTCCAGCTCTATTCTATTCTAGAAAATAAAAAAAATAAGAATTGAAGAAAAAAAAAACCCGGCTGATCCTAAAACCACGGGCTTGAAACCTCTTGGATTTTTTACATAAAAAAGAAAATGAATTTGGAACTTAAGATTTTGATGATTAGAAAGAATAGGTTATAGAAATAAAGGAATATGTAATCTTACGTTGGATTAGAATTGTACATAGATATAATTGCTAAGAGAAGATTTAAATCCACTTTTTATATGTATTTTTTCTTATTTTCTTTTTCTATCTTTTTTGTCTCTTTTCTTTGCTTCACATTTACATCTTTTCTTTGAATGCAAAAGAATTTTTACTTAAAAGTCACCCATAAAGCAGAACATGGGAAGTAGCAAGTGTTCAGATAGATTTTGCTAAGTCCTTTTTGATGGCTTCAGGTTTAGCCTAGTCTTTGAACTTTCATGATATGCTAATAAAAGAGGTCAGCAGAAACTCATTTGGATAATTTTAGTATTTTTAAAAAAGTATACTCTAATTTAGATAACATTAAATCTTTGTTGGCCAATCAAAACCTGAGGGTTCTAAGAGTACTTTATTTTAAGTATTGAACTCCTTCCCATATAGTGTACCAAATTAAATTATTAATATATTTTTAAAGAGAAAAACATAGACAAATATAAAATTTTATAGTCATAAATTAGGAGCCCTCGGTGAAAAAAAATTAAATTGTAACATAATCAAAGCTGGCTTTATTAGCTGCAGGAAAAAAATTCAAATAATAGGCCCTACCACCCTAACCTGATGGAAGGTGTCACTCAGGCCATTTGCTTTGAAGCATCTTTTCATGTAATTGGGACACTAATGTATAAAGCTGGTCCCATTGCTGCTCTATCAGCATAGTGGTGGTTTGATAATGTTTAAAGTCACTAGTGAGATAAACTGATTAATCTGTTTTTAGAATTACAGTGATATATCAAAAGAACAGATATACCAAAAAATCCTCCCCTTTTTTTTGCTTCCATGTCAGTGTTGGCTACTGGTGACTTTCTTGACTAGTCCATGCAGTTTTCTTGGCAAGGTTTTTTCAGAAATGGTTTGCCATTGCCTGCTTCCTAAGGCTGAGAAAGACTGACTGGCCCAAAGTTATCCACCTACCTTCATGCCTAAAGTAGTAATAGAATTCAGTCTTCCAGTTTCTAGCCCGATGGCTATGAGCTCTATCTACCTTGTAAGACTTCTGACAGTAGGACATCAAAACACAGCCAAATAAAGATTCTACAATATTTTGAAATCACAAGTTGATCTAAGTACCTGGCTGGATTAAAAAGTCTGAGAACCCCTGGATGACAGCCCTATGAGGTAGACCAGATCAAGAAGCCTGCTGCATAGAAAGGCATGGCTTCATGGAATCTGCAAGGGATTATGACACTGGCTGTATTCACACAATACATTAATCTATACTTAACAAAATCATGGTTTATTGAATTAGCCCAATCCATGGGTTAGAAATAAAGAGGTTAAATACTACATATTAATCATGGATCACTCTTCTGTTTAGCTATAATGTACTTTGCATATTTTTTTTATTTATTGTACTTCTACCTGTTAAGCTTTTTGTGCAAATCATGGTATAAAGTCCTGCACTGTATGAAAGTCAGGAGAAAACAGTTATGCTTCATGCCAGAAGTCATACAAGCTGCTTTAAACTTGTCTCCTGAGGTTCTTAAATCTGTTAAGAAGCAGAAAATAAATTCTTCACATACTATGAAATATTCTTCATGAAGTCCTGATCAATAGCCACTGGCCATTCAGCCACATAAGAGATATGAGTACAGTACAGTACAGTACATGGAATTCCAGACCTGTAGATTAGAACAAAGCCAAAAAGA